ATATACAAAACCATATCATTCAGAATTCAGATCTGTGCAAAATGGGTATCAAATACAAATTAAACACAGCCACATCATCCCCTCAAAGTTACCAAAATGCAAAAGCAGTGTAAGAAAAATGACCGCACAGTCTTATCCACATGACACTTGCTGGATGGGATATTCACTCTAAGTAACATGCTGAAATGTAGTGCATAAAAATGCTTGCATTCCATTCCTATGCAAATAGATCTCAGGGACAGTTGTTGATTCAGGATTACAATTCTTAATTAGCAATTGTGGGCATCCCTGATTCATTAAAACAGCATAGACAATTTTGTACTGATATTAGGGAAAGGAGCAGTCACATTCACCCATATTGTAAATGAAATATCCTTCCACAACCTCATAGTTCTGATGGTCATACTGACCAGTAGTACAGAAGTTGTAGTTATCTTCTGGAAGGTACCAGGTATGAAATAACAAGCGGGCAGAATGCTGGAAACTATCAGTAGATGAGAGGCAAAGATCTTGACCTTCATATTTGTTCATTATTGATTTTGAAACATAAACTGATGAGTATGTTTGTGAACCTCAGCACTGAACAGTGCTGGTGTTATGAGCTGTTAGGGACCAAAGGCTGCTGGTGACATGTCATTAATAATATAAATGATGGAGTCTGGCTCTCTCAGTGCCATGAGGAAGCAGCTATGAAAGATTCATTTGCAATAAAGGAAAACAAAACTCATTCAGCTAAGGCTTGGTTTATTGCACAGCTCCTTCAAGACACTTAAGGGAATGCAACTTGCAGAAGCAACGAAAGAGGTAAAGGAAGCCATTGCTACTGTATTATAAATCAGTTTTTTGGGTTACACCACAAACAAGGAAGCACTACCAGGCTGCTGTATAATGGCTACTGCAGAAACCTCCAAATGGAGTTCCAGTTTTATACAGGCTGCTGTCTATCTGCCCTTTTGCAACCTCTTCACTTTCCTGCAAAAGCAGAACTTGTTTTCCTGCCTGTTGAAAATGTCAGAGAAATGTCCCAGTGGGCAAGGCTTCAGTGCTCGTCTTTTCTCACCTGGCTTAACTTTTCCTACTATCACCCTGAGCATCTTGTCACCCTTTCTCCTTTGTTGTTGCTGATTGGATTGGGACTCTGCCTGAGAGGTGTCCAAAGCTCCCAGGTTCATGAAGAGGAGGAAGCTGCCCTGACGCCTGCCTGCTTAATTGGAAATGTCTGCCATTTGGGGGTAGAACCTCAAGCAGGCCTATTCCTGCTGGCCCAAGGTGGGATGGTGATGTTCCAGTGGTGGCAGAAGCAGCAAGGGAAGGTCACTCCTCTAACTTTCCAGCCAATTCTGTGCAAAGGAGTAGTACTGCTTGCACAGTGCAAAAGGAGGAGTTTCTGGCAAGTGCCCCATGAACCTTGGGTGTACTCACCAGGAACTCTGACTCAGGGCACTGCAAAGCAGCCTGAATTCCAGGAAGCCAAGCCCAGGGAATCTGATGGATTTCCATTCCTAAATGGAGGCCTCACACATCCCCAATCAACTATACCTCAGGGCTGTGAGGCAGCAAGGAAAAAATATTTCAATGCCAGTAGTCTTCTATCTACTGCCCAGTGGAGCTGTTTAGGGTTGTTCAGGGCCTACTATATACTGGCCTGAAAGCTGCTGTAGACCCTTCTGAAGTCCAATATAACATACGTACTAAGCACTTCTAGGATAAAATCCCTTGCATCTACTGGGGTGTCAACATTTTAGCAGGTGGATCTGGGAAGGTTCCAGGAGTGCAGTTTGGTCCAGTTTATTGGATGAGTTACATATGGTACAGCTTGAGAATGTTGCCAGGGTACTTGGACAGGTTCATTCAACCAACTCTCTTTTGGATGCTTGCCCCTCTTGGCTAATAAAAAAAATGCATATCGCTGATCCAAGGAGGTGATTAATTCCTGTTTACAGGCAACAGTGGACCCTGTTTTCCATCCTGCAACAGGCCATTGTGAGGACCTCCTTTGACCCAGAAGATTCTAAAAACTTCAGGATCCTGGGCAAGTTCTTTTGAGTGGAAGGCAGCCAACCAGTTCCAGGCACACTTGAGTGAGAATGATTAGCTGGATCCTTGTCAGTCAGGCTTCAGGCCAGGCTTTAGCACAGAAACAGCTTTGATCATGTTGCATATGATCTATGCCAGGAGAAACAGGGGATGTGTAACACTGTTGGTATTTCTGGACCTCTCGGCATCAATACTATTGAGAGAAGGGGAAGTGGATTGCATTGTTTCTACTTCTTGGATTGATGGCTCCATACGGTGCTGCCTGGGGGATATCACCCTGCCCCTTGGATTCTCCTGTGCAGGGTTCCTCAGGGGTTGGCCTTGTCCCCCACTGAATGAGCTCATCTGGAGATTTGGAGTGTGTGGTTATCAGTAAGCTCATGACACACAGCTCTGTTTCTCCTTTTCATCACCAGCAGGTGAGGCTGTGGCTTGTCAAACTAGTGTTTGGCTGCAACAATGAACTGGATGAGAGCTAACAGGAGAAGCACCATCCATATAAGACTGAGATGGTGGTGGTGGGTGGTCCCTTTGACTTGATGGAAGGACTTCAGCCCATGCTGGTTGGGGTAGCACTCCTCTTGAAGAAGAAGAGTCATAGTTTCATCTCTATCACTTGAGCTCAGGTGGCCTCACTGGTATGGAGTCTCTTTCCCCAGGGCAGATTTTGGGGAGCTGCAGGGCAGGAAAATGGTGAAACTGACCTTTCTCCCTGGGAGCTCCATTTCCATGAGAAGAAATTTATTCTTGTAATCACTGAAACCAATCCATCATCATCATCATCATCATCATCATCAATTGACCTGAGTTAGCAATACCCAGAGTGAAATTCACTCTTCAGCTGAAAAGCTAGTAGCAAATAGTATGTCTTCCTAGTCCTAACAAACAACAACCACCTATTGTCCCAACACTTTTGTTTCTCCTTTTGAAATGATGGGTGGGAGAAGGATGTCATGGAGACAGACCAGGCTCTTTCCTGATTTTCAGTATTTCCATGTCCTGATCCTCATCTTTCAGCTTACCCACAACTAATTGCTCACACCAGGGAATTAGGAGCCTTAATTGAGTCTTAAAAATGAAGCCACTGCAATTTGGAATCGAGACACGGCATGTTTTGGTTTTTGATCAACCTGATTGGCCAGAAGAACAGGGGAGGAACACGTCCACCTCCACCAGCCACCAAGAACTAGAGCCTTGGATATGAGATGAGGAAAGACAAATTGCTCCATTTACATTTCCAACCAGCTTTTCCCTGTTTAAGCATTATTATTATTATTATTATTATTATTATTATTATTATTTCTTTTAACTTTATGGGCAGAACTGTTGACATTCAGAGTGAGTACTGAATTAAAAATGGCCTTGAGCAATTCAATGTATTTCAGTCAGTATCTCTAAACCACCAGATTTTCAAATGAGAGGCACTTCTTTGAAAATGAAGAGCATTTTAGCACGTCATAAAGGACAACAAAAGCTGGAGCCTCACATATTGTTTATATACAACTGTTGTGAGCAGTTCTCTCTCTCTCTCTCTCTCTCTTTCTCTCCAGCAGACTCAGAAAAGACTTTATAAGCCTAACCCTTTTAGTAAAGCTTAACAGGTTACAAAAGAGTACAAACCATATATAAAGCAGGGGCTTCAAGCTGATGGAGAAGCATCTGCCCAAGTGAAGAGCTAAATCTAAACTGAAAATTCCTCTCCTTCCCTTCCATTCAAATATTATTAATAATAAAAAAATCTGACTCCACTCACAGGGTGGTTCCTTATGGAACAGATGGACGGAATACTGGACACTTAGGCCTTCCCACCTCACCTGTTGTTTCCCTCCTAAATTCCCTCTCCATCTACTTCTCATCCATCCCTGCAATGCCTGCCTCTTTTCCCACAACAGACTGGTAGTCCTGCTCTCTATGGGTATCTTCACTAGGTGTACTTGGAACTGCAGGGCCACCTGCCCAGCTCTGGCCCTTCTCCTCAGAATCAGAGGAATCTATCCGAGCAGCCTGCCATGCGCAAAAGCTGGGCTCCCTCTTCACAATAATAAAAGTATTCACAAATCCGACAGCTTGTTTGAAGCCACTCCTGTGTGTTAAGGGACAAGCAATCATCATAAATGACATGGGAAGAAAAGTAGTCAGGTAATTTTGGTGGCAATGATGCAAAGGAGAGCTTAGATTCCAAATGTTCTTTCCCTTCGGAGCTAGGCATGCCAGTGGTGACAGTGGCTGCCACTAAGGGAAAAATAAAAACCATTCAGTCCTAGAATACCTGGGCACCATACATCCAAGGGGAAAAAATCAAAAAGCATCCATTACATTGCACCTTCTCAGAACATTTTGTAAACTTCCTATGCTAACATCAATTCTATATGGTCAGTCACCACCAAATGGCATTTTTACATGCCTTTTACAAAATATCCAGATTCCAAATAAGTCAACCTTTTAAAACGTTGCACAAGAATACAACTAACTGATTTCTTTTAAAAATGGAAAAGAGCCTTATCTACCTTATGAACACATTTATTCTAGCATAAATATTTTCGGAGACTGTCCACTTCATCATTAAAATCTGATAAAAACATTGATTGACATAATCTGTTCCAAGAGATGGGGCGAAGTCATCGCAAATAAAGAGTATCCTTTTTCTTCTTCTTATAGCAGGAAGTAATAATAGTGCCATGTGAACTGCATATGTTAGAGGGAAAACTAGAATGGAAAACTACAGCACTGCTATTACTGGGAATTATGCTAGCATATTATCTGTGACATTTATAGATTGATTTTTAAATTTACAGATTTACTTTTGGCACAAATAGTTTGCAAAGAAAAGTATATACTATCTTTTGGCTCCATGGCTTAACTTTATTGGTGCACAAATTTGAAACCAGCAGACATTCACACTGGGTTTGAACTGTACACCTTCAGTTGCTTTATACAACTGATCATACAGCTTGGTGACCTACTTGATGAAGTAGTCTCTCCCATCTCTGTTTGCCGTCATCTCCCATCCATAGGAAGATCCCTGGTTCAAGCTCCAGGTTCCTGAGGGGGGAGGCCAGCCTGAAGATTTGGTCCTGTGGCTAAAAGAAAAAAAAAAGGCAGGAAGCTCATTAACATAAACTGGATTTAGTTAACCCACAGTAACCTTGATACATGCTAGAACTGACACATAAAATGCACTTGTGTGTGTGTGTGTATACATACATACATATATAATTAGGCTTTATATGTTTTTAATTCTAACAAAATTTCCTGCTTTGGATTTGGTTTGACTGAGTGCTCCACCCAACCTCTTACTTGAGAACTTTGGGGGAAAAAATTGCAGGAAGTCTCTTAAGACCCTTCTATCCTGACATAAACAGATTGAATGTTTGGTAGACATGAGAAGGAATTGTATGCACATATATCCATAGGGGCCTTGCTCTGATTGACTCAGGATCCCCCCCTGCCTGACGGATTGGTATACACATGTCTTCTAAGTATGTTGCTGGTGCAGAAATTGCCACAGGAAGCAGGGCTAGTTGATGTGATCCTGCAGCTTCTTCACATATACTTTCAAGGAGGTTGTATGAAGCTCCCTTATTTTAGAGCCATACCATGAGAAATAGCCCTAGATTTGGTTTGCACAAATGTAAATGCCACCCAGCTTCTTTTCCAGTATATGTCTTCCTCAGTGTTCTTCTGCTTTCCAAGTATTAGTCATCCTAGACCCTTCCTGAAGAATAAATGGATGAATGAATCAAGGATATATTTTTCACACTAGCTCAATCCAGATGCAGTATGTGAAAAGAATTCCATGGAAAATAATTCGCTTTCTCTTTTTGGTAAGGTGTTTCTGGTATTGATTCATTTTACAAGGTCTACTGGAACTATGAAACTGCATTGGGCAAAATCTAAACTTCACTTTCAGTTAAATCTGAATGTTCTCGATATGGGAAAATAAAAGTATAGAAACACCATATTTACTGAGCAAAAACATTGATACAGTTTAATGTAACATAAACTACAATGGCCTCTATTCTTCACATTCTTAGTTAATAGTTACTTTTCAGGCATTCACTCTGGATTTTCCCTTGCAGTAGCAGGATTATGTTATAATCTCCTTTAAAAGCAACCCTTTGAACACCACAGAATGCTATTAGGATGCTACAAGATATGTATGATACATTTTCACACTGTATAAACCTCAAACTAAATAAAGTAGCAACACTATTCATGCAATAATATAGGATATGTTAACAACTTACATAAAACCGATGGATTGTGGGTAGAAATTCCTATAGGCACAAACAACAGCTTTTCTCCCCACCCAGCATCTATGCATGTCTATGGAAGCTCACAGTTAAACACCTATGCATTGTAATAGCCTGGGGATGCCTGTAACATGCCCATCCAGACCTCCATTGCAATACTGTTGTATCATGTTAAGGGAGCATTATCATAAGTATAGGACAGATAGCATAGCTGAAAGTCATGCTCCATATCTTAAGCTCCAATCTTATTGGAACAGCTTATTCTTGCCTGCCTGCTTCCAATTGTGCACTGGTTATATTTGTGTACAAGCACCCCTCTCTCTCTCTCTCTCTCTCTCTCTCTCTCTCTCTCTCTCTCTCTGTAGATATAAAAGGGCTTCAGTTAGATTATACGTGATCGTTTTGTTCTAAAGTTTGTGATCTTCTATTTTATCTCCATATTCCTTTCTTCTGTTATTCAATTGTAAGTTTATTGGTTTGACCTTGCTGCAGAATTATCTAATTTTTACAAACAAACAGATATCAAACATCAAATGTGTGGTGGCAAATCCAGAACCATGGCTATGTCCAGATACATCCATGAAAATATATGTGCATCTAAAGTGTGGCCGTATGCAAAGTCAGTCCTAAAACATAATGCTTCTAGTTGATGTTGTTGATCCAGGCTGCCATATAGGCTGCCATGCTAAACGTTGTGTTCAGACTGCTATGTAATAAATCGATCTTTTACATTGCTATTTTGAAAGCAGTCTTGAGGCCCAATCAAACTTTCCTCTCACAACAGAAGATACCACATGCTTCTCTCTGTATTCCTATCTCTACCCATGTTTCTACCATGGGGAACGATGGTGTTCCAGGGACTCCTGTACTTCATTAGTTTTCAGATGTCTTGTTTCCCTAGTAAAGGCAATGTCTTTGCAAATGGCAGCCATTGCGAAAATAGTCTTTCTCACATACTCAATACACATGAGGACTGTGCTCATCCCCGTCTTACTTGGTCCTAATCCAAAACAAACCTTTAAGATTATTGTTGCTAGAGAAGCTAAATCATGGAAGAATCTACACCATGAAAAAACCTCAGTGTTAGTAGTAGTCAATAGCATTTACTACGTATCATTTATCTTGCAAGAAAATGTCAGTTATGTCTTTTTAGGCAGCTGGAAGACAGGGAGAGGCAGGATTAAAAGGGAAGCAGCATACCAAAAAAAAAACCCCACCTTACTGAAATGCTTGCAGCGCAGAGCAATGAAAACCCTACACTAATTCTTCTTTAATTATTCCAACATGTTTTAAATTGGAAACTGTCCTGAGAGCCATTAGGCTAAATTGATGCAGCACAGAAATGCTTTAAATAAATAAATAAAGGGCCTGCGTTTTTCCTATTCTAAGATGACGTGCTTGCTCACTCTCATGGCAAGAATCTAAATCTATTTTAAAGAAAAGTGAAAGTGGGAGGGTTGAAGTTAGTTGGATCCATACTTCCCCTTGGGCAGGATTCTCAAGGGATAGATGGCAAGCCGAAAATAATATGTATGAAATCTAATATTCTTCATTTTATCCAGGGGCATGGTATACTACAAAGCTCTTGTCTCATTTCCTGCTGCACTGACCAGATTTAGATTTGGCCTCATGTTAGACAACATCTTCAGTTCTCAGGATGTCCCAGTTGAAAAGGGGTCTAAACTAGAAGGTTTAGCCTCAGGCCATAGTAGCAGGCATTCATAATCTTGTGCTGGGAGATACAAACACTGGCTGTTTCTTTCCTCAAAGGTGATCAGCTCCTCCGCTAATGGCCCATTTCCACCTTTAATTGTTGACTTCCTGCTTTCATTCTTTTCCCCAGACTCCTAGTTCTCATGGCAAACAACCAGGGTAAAGACAACTCTCCAGTGGTGTCATTAGGCTTTGGTCTGAACACTGATTCTGAAAGAATGCCACCAAGCTTGAACTCCTCTTCCTCCTCAATGAGAAAGGTGTGTTGGGTGGCTTGTTAGCTCAGATGTTGTTTTCTGCCTTCATAGATTGCTTTATTTAGTATTGCCTAGATTCCTCAGCAGCTGTAAGTATCCTAAATATGAATACTTCTCCTCCTGTCTGTGGCTTATTGCTGGGATACTCCCCAAATTGTTGCTGTAGCAGCTGTTTGGCTCCTTGGATAAATTTGGCTTAGGTGGACATGTCTCTAAGGGTCTTGCTTGGGTCCACAAGTTCACAATATTCAGCCTTGAGCTTGAATAGTCTAGTCAAGTCAATTTCACATGCAGAACTTATCTGAATGATCTAGTCAAGTCAGCTTCATGTTGCAAAATGACTTGTAGGCTTGATTTTTCCTGGTTGTTAGCTGGTTCTAAAAAATGTGTTTTAACTGAAAGCCTTGGCACCATTCCTCCACAGTCTCATTTTTAATTTTTCTTCCAATATTTTTATTTCCTTAAATCAAATTTCACAAATATGCAATTAGTTATTTTAAAAAATGAAAGAAAATCACAAAGGAGTATTCCCCAATTAAGCAGCTAATTGTGGTATGAAAGTGGTTAGGAAAACTTCTTTCCAGCAGAGAATAAAGGCTCAGAATTAATTAGGCTCAGAGAACCATACAGAGAACCTAAAAAGGCTCAGAGTTGCTGAGAACCATACAGAGAGAAGCAGAACAGAGGACATAAAATGCTTTCCTGCAACTTTGTTTGCTAAAGAAAAAAAGTCAGGAGGAAAAACAAATAGAAAGAGGCAAGCCCGAGGGGATGAGGTAAAAGCTCTCCAGAGGACTGTCATGCAAAATATGAAATGCAAGCCAGGCAATAGAGGAAAGGGCCATTGCTAATATATCTCTCCTTCCCCTGTGGCTCAATCATGCATCCTCCTGTCTGAACCTTCAATGAGCTCATGTTGCTAATCTTATATTTACCCCTTAATGGATGCCCTGAAGTAAGAAGAAAATGGAAGAGGCAATGGAAAAATCTAGGAAGGTTCAACTGGATGGTAATGGGTCCTTGCAGATAGGAAGTTCATAGCATATTAAAGTTAAGGTAGGCTAATAGTCAGAAGCTAAACATATCAAAGAAATCAGCTAAAGCACACTCCTGCAGGATTGTTGTTTTCTTCATGCAGCTAACTTGCCCTCACTTATGAGTTTCACACTTGCTCTTTTACATTTTTAACAGGAAAAGCTAAAAGATCAATAGATATTTTTTCTCTTCAGCTTATGGTTTAGGATGATGCAGATATCATGTAATCGTCCAGCCAAACAATGCTGCTGCAAACTTGGTGGGACTGGAAGGTTTTAGTCCACTGCCTATAGTCTACAGCCTAGTCTAGCCCATTACTTTTTATTTATAGGTAGCCTTTAGAGCATACCATACTCTTCTCAAATCTTTGACCGAGAGATGGTTTCTTTGGCTTTCTGTAGTAGCAGACTCTGACACTTCTAGGAAGTTAAATTGGCTGAATGATTGTATTACTTCTGTTTTTTTTTTTTTTTAATAATGCTATGGTTCTTACAACAGCATTGTGAGAAGCTCACTTCAAACCACAATTCATTCCACAAACCACACTTCATAGCTGGTTCCTCATGAATGAACCTTGTGTGTGAATCTGTTGGGTCAAAAGTGGATGGTGCCCGGCCACAATGAATCATCCTTTGGATACTGCTTGTGATAGCATCACGGTCACAATAGTAAAGCAGAGTAGCCAAGAACCTAGATTTCTGAACATACGAGGGGTCTGCAAAAAGCTTTCACACTTTCATATTTTATATTTTAGAAATGTAAGTTGGTATGACACTGCAAAATTGCATTGCAAAGGAATATGACTCTGTAGAAAAGTGATGT